GGTCAACACAGAAAGCTTACTTCTCCAAGGCACCTGACGCCGCCTCTGTTTTAAGAGGTCCGTTTTGCATCTATTCATATTTTTACTGTTTGTTTAAACGTTTGAGGAACATCACTGTACTTTATCTTCACATTCTATTTAAGAATCCTATTAGAAGTGTAGATCTGTATTTCCCACGCATGATTCTGCCGTAATCCCAGCAGGCACGCAACGTTGTTTCAACGTTGAAAGGAGGTGGAATATAGGTTGCAACGTTGATCAACTATATTTCAACGTTGTTTCAACGTTGAGGTTTCAACGTTGAATTCTCAACCTTTTTTCAACGTTGAAACAACGTTGAAGCTGCAACATATTTTCAACGTTGAATGTTCGTCGATATTTCAACGTTGAAACAACGTTGAAGCTACAACATATTTTCAACGTTGAATGTTCGTCGATATTTCAACGTTGAAACAACGTTGAAGCTGCAACATATTTTCAACGTTGAATGTTCGTCGATATTTCAACGTTGAAACAACGTTGAAGCTGCAAAATATTTTCAACTTGAATGTTCGTCGATATTTCAACGTTGAAACAACGTTGAAGCTGCAACATATTTTCAACGTTGAATGCTTGTCGATATTCCACGTTGAAACAACGTTGAAGCTGCAACAAATTCTCAACGTTTGAAGTTTTTTGATATTTCAATGTTGAAACAACATTGAAGATTCAACATTGAGTATTTTCTGATATTATAAAATTGAAACAAGGTTTGAAAATGCAAAGTTGACTGTTAGTTAATTTCAACGTTCATTAATTAAACTCATATAGACCGTGCCGTATACTCTTACGCAAAATGTTATACAGAGTGAATCTAAGAAGCCTTTTTTATCAAATTGTGCTTTTGTTGTGTATATCAATTCTATAATATTTCTTTTCACAAAATATATAAAAGAAAAATTCAAATATAAACACATAACAATTTTCACACTGACAATTAACCCAGGTCAAAAAGCATTACTTAAGATCCACTCCCCAAAAACCTTCGAGATATCAGATAAGGAGTGCCTCTCGCTTAGTTGGTCAGTTTCAGTGTCAGGATAACCTTGTTATGCAATTTTCTTACTGGGCAGAGTATAGCTGCAGCTTATCTAGGTCAAAATTTGAATTTAACTGATGGACAAGAAGTGCGCGTCTCCTTGCTGTTCATATTTAATGTGTTTTCAAGCTACATACACAAGGATTAAGGCTGGAATATCAACTTCTGCTCAGTAAGTATTATTTCCTTTTCATGGATTTAAGAAATTAAGTTTATTTAGTATCTGTACATCATTTAATTCTTGTTTTATAAGTATCTTTGAAATCTACATGAAATGCACATCCTTGGTTCGTGTATTATGTGTATTGTTGATATTCATTTGGTTATGAAATATAAGTATACTAATATATTATTCAATTTAATTAATTGTAGTTCATCGTTTGGTTCAATCAACCAGTGGTGCAGGGAATTGATTGTATATATAGTCAGCCTTGATTGCATCAGATTCTTCGCCCGTGAAAATTATACAAAGGAATGCATCATTTTGTAAGTACACTATATCTATGTATGTCTATAACATTTTCTTTAGTAATAATAATTTATAAGCATACTAATACGAATTTTAATATGAAGTTAACTATTATTCTTTCTAATCATGTTAATTAAATCCAAGTACCGGAAAATATTCCTTTGTCTGATTTTTTAAATTATTCATGTATATTTATTTTTATCATTCGAAATAACGTGTTACATACATTATATCGAAAAAATTTCTTTCACATCTTTATTTCTTTTATTTATAGGCTTTTGCACTAGAGGGTGGATTCTCCTGTTCATTTCTTTCATTCGTGGGACTTAACTACAGATGTATATGCATAAAATCAAAGGATCCGCCACTTTGTGGAACTTAGTAGTGTAAGACAGACGCGTACTTTGAAGAACCTTGATGTGCTAACTGGACTCCGTTTTCACTAGGAATATAAATTTTGTCAAGCAGTGAATTTTGAGATTCAGTGATTGAATCCAAATTTGTGTTTTTTTTAAAAAATACAAACTAAAATGAATTGTCTCACAATCGTAATACTGGATTATAACTTATATAAATATTTCGCAACTTGAATAAAAAATATTATTAGAATTTGAAATGTATTTGTTTATAAAGTAAAACGTAATATGAATTCAACGTGATTTCAACGAGATATCAACGTTTGTACAACCAAAAAATTTCAACCAAATCTCAACCTAATTACAACCAATGTTCACTTTTGTTCAATGTTGATATTTGACGTTGAAACAACGTTGAAGCTTCAACGTTGCATCAACTTTCATTTGCAACCAAAAATCAACCATAAATCAACCAAAAATTCAACCCATTTTCAACGTTTATTCAACGTTGAAAATTGACGTTGAAACAACGTTATGTTTCAACGTTGCCTCAACTTTCATATGCAACCAAAATTCAACGTTGATTCAACGTTGATGTGCAACGTTGATTCAACGTTGAATCAACGTTGAAATGCCTGCTGGGATAGCTTTAAAAATGATAGATGATCAAATTGCTGAACAAATATGAGATAATCTTAGAACAATCTAAAAGGAAGTTCTCCGTCTTTTTCCATAGATTCGTTTTGCAGAAAACTGTAGATTAGTCATGATTTGATCTTGATATACCTTTTAAGTGGTAGCAAATAATCGACATGTAAAAGTCTCATTCCTATACGCGAACATAGTCTAAACATCTTATTTGACTTTTCCGCACCTGAATTCCTTTGAATTTCTCCAGATAACACAGTTGATGATGTATAAGGTTTAGCTTGCAAAGACATGTACCATAGTATGTATTTCTTGTGTCGTAATTGAGAAGTCGCAATGACAGACTAAACAAAATGTGAGAATACTTAAAAAACGGAATTGAAAACCTGAAAAAGTTTACATTGATTAGATAGCCAGTGTGGAAATATCTAAAATTTAATAAGTTAACCATTTCCAAAACACTGTATGTTTGCCTTCTCCCGACGGACTGGCTAAAATGGTCTGACACGGACATTATTTAAATTTGGGGAACGATTTGCAACACGAATTTTGTATTCTAGACAACACCAAGGGTTGAGATATTCCGGATAAAATGTACCACCTACACAATGGCACATTTCTTTACCCTGGGTCGAGAGAGGGCAAACGGACATTACAAAAGCTGGCCTTATTGATAATAATAACGTAAATAATCGTAATCACCTAACATGACCATGCATAGTATTTCATATTTTATACAAATTTCTTTGTGTTAAAACTCTGTTGTTGCATTTAATTGTTACCTTTTGCATATCTCTTGAAAATTGTCTTACTGGGTAAATAAAGTTCAAATTAAATTTTTTTTCTATATAACTTATTTCAAAGAATTAAAAGGTTATTATTTTTTGTTTGTTTGTTTGAGGCTTTGTTGTACTTTAAACTACTTAATTTACACTTCTTACAAACTTATGAAGTCATTCCTTCACTGAAGTGCATATAAAATATACAACAATGAAGTAGAAAAAAAAGAATCTTAATAAAAAGACAGAACCAGAGGAATATTTTCCATAAATATGAATTTTTATGCCTCCGTAAACGAAGTTTAGGGGGTATATAGTTTTTCTCGTGTCCTTCTGTCTGTCTGTCTGTCTCTCTGTTTGTCCACAAAAACGTTAACCTTACCCATATAACTTTTGATTTAGTGGAGCTATGATTTTCATATTTGACATGTGTATTCCTTGTGACAAGAACTTTCATTGGGTACCACAAAATTTGACCTTCTGACCTTGGAGTTTGACCAACTTTTACACAAAAATTCTAAACTTTTACTTTGGCCATATCCTCTGAACAGTAGACACCAGGATATTTATACATCATATATGCATGTGGCAAGATCTTTTATTGGATAGCACCAAGCTTGACCTTTTGACCCTGACCTTGAAGAGTTCAGTACTTTAAAAAAACTTTAACCTTAGCAATTACTTTTCAACGGTGATGGCTAGTGCTTTCAGTTACTGAAATCGTAGATTGAATGTTTTTGATCAAATTCAATACTTGATTGCAAATTAACTGGCTCGGACAAGTGTCTCAATTCATGGGATTCACCCATCCCTTTCAGGCGACCGAAATTCCTCTTTTATCATCAATTCTCGGTCGTATTTCCTGTGTCTTTTCAGCATTCATGATCAATTTTCACAAATAAAAATATCCCCGGACAAGAATCTGTTCACTATCACTGATCACAGGAAGTCTTTAACAAAATCTTTCCTTCGAAATAGAATTCCTAGCCTGAAGAATTCGAAGCGTAACCGCCTTCCAAGCCGATTTACACCTTGCCTACTTTTGACGGAAATCTACGGCGACCGGTTAGTGCAATATTTATATCTGAATATATCAAATTTAGTATATAATTGTCAATCTCAAATGTATATATATATAAGTAATAAATAACAAGTTTATAAACTCCAGTGGGAATTGAAGTGGGTCGGTATGTGATCAAATCTTCTGAGAAGGCCTTCGGCCTTCACAGGATTTGATCACGTGTCCGACCCACTTCAATTCCCATTGAAGTTTATAGACTTGTTATTTATTTCTTAAGTGAATAAACATGTTAAAGTAGTAATTCTTCAATGACAAAATCGTGGGGGAGGTAATTTATTATTAAGGAACGTCTTGTCTTTCCTCAAGGGGCTGTAATTGTGAAGTGTTGTACATTGGGAACAACAGACACATGTCATTTTATTAATCAAATCTGCTGTAAAAAGTGTTTGTATTTTTTTGTGTTTATTCATTTAAGAAATAAGTTCAAATTATTTATCATGAAAAAAGATAAATCTCACAGGAGATAAAAGACTGAGGGAAAAACGGTGAAATTGTTTTCCCTTATAATACAACACATCCTTGTTAGTTACACGTTTAATCCTCTCCCTCATTAACATATTTATGTTATATAAAAGCAGAGCAAAAGGAAGAAATACCATTGCTTTTTATCTCAAAGGTTCAGCTGCTCATAGTATATTGTTTATTGAACAAGGTTTTCATCATCATTGGGAATTGTTGAACTAAAGCTGAAATTGTGTCTACGCTATTTGGATAGGAAATTTTAAAAAATATGCAAATTCAAGTTCGCGTTCCTTACTTTATTTGGGATACTTTGTTTTGGAGAAGGTAAGACGAAGGTGTACGAGGGTTGTTCCAAAAAGTCGTAGACAGGGAAAACAGTTTAGTTTCTCTTTGCTAAATCAAATTTCTTTCCTTGTCAAAGCAAAAAGCAACATTTTATGATCAATTATTCCTTATTTTGTTCGTGCGCCGACAGACCTTATCGGCCTACATATAAATCGTTCTTATATCATTAATATGAAAGATAAATATTTAAGAATTCACAATTTTAAAGAACATTGAATATATTATGTCTATGCAAAATTTGGTTTGTGCTGGTTGCATGTTTAAGAAATTATAAATATTGTCTACGACTTTTTTTTCACAAATTTCTGAGCATTTAATTGATCTGTAACTCAAAGTTTTGCCATTTACTTAATAAATATACATATCTTTTCCTTGTGAAGAGACGTTAAAAGGTAAATAATTCATGAGTTTTAATTGATACAGTTTTAGATATAATAACATAGGAAAATATATTGTCAATATATGAAATATATAGATGTCTCCAATTGCGTCACAAGTTTCATATTCCAAACACAAAACAAAACAAATGAAATCAATCGTATATATCTTTAAGTATATGTACGCAGATGTGTATTCATTTAAAGATATGTTGTTTTTTGTGTCTGACGAGAGGATAAAATAACTCTAGAATAAGAATGGAGACAGAAGTAAATCAAAATATTAAGTGGTGATATGAATACCTTTAACAGAGATATCTATTTCTGTGCTTGAATAATCCAATTCTTATTCCTGATGAAAATTTTCTTATGTTGTGTTGTAAAAGATTTGTTAATATTTTCACGAACCACATCCAATGCAGTTTGAGTGGCGCAATCTACCATATTATTCTTTGAGTCATTATGACAGTTCTTTATAATAAACATGGGTTTTTTCCCATTTTCCCATTCTCTACTGAGGTTAGCTATTTTCGATTTTTAACACAGCGCTAAAACAGAACTGATTACATAACCTGCATATTTTTTCAATGACAGTTTGAAAATTTTGAAGGAAAGTAACACATTAAAGCTTGATAAATTCATTTTAAAAATCTTTTCCTTAAAGTTTGTTGTTAAACATTTGAAGGTTTTGAATTTCCGGTTTTGAATGAAAGATCCATATTAAAAGCCAAACGAAAAACAAACAAACAAACGGATTTTTACGTGATTTTTACGTGATTTTTAAAAAGATGAATTTAATAAGGTTCAGACCGGGAAAACAATATAACACAAAAGTAAGAAGAGCAAAGGTTGATATCTTAAAATTGAAAACCTACTCTGAAGAACTTTATATATTTGTTCTTAGCTCTATTAGTTTGAAACTGAAATCTACATAGCCTAAAATACTGCAAGAAAATTTTGTCTAGTAGCTATCGCAGTATCTGAAAGGTATTCTTTTAATTACTTCAGTTGATTTGTTTTCAAACATGTAAAAAAATCTTTTGGACAATTTTAGTCTTTAACTTCCCTTTTTACTGCCAGTGCTCCAATTTACTGAAAAGTAAGAATAAAATATTCACGGAAATGTGGCTAGTAAACTATACGCACGTGTAGACAAAGTAAACAGAAATGTTATGTGTTTCAATTTTTACCACTATACTAGAATTGTTCGGAAAGTGGACTAGCGCAATAAAATTAAAACGGCTTAAGATACATCTATAATTTTTGAACAGTTGATTGGCATCATCTCTTTATTTATATGATAAATTATACACCATTAGGTATATTCTTAAATAAAGTTTTAATGTTTTTGAAAGCAATTGATGATTTGTCCAGTCGACGCAAACTCGAATATTACGTTTTTTTTTTACCTGAGTGTAAGTAAGAAAAAACTTTTTTCATACTCAGGTATGTTAAGGTTACAACCAAAAATTCTATTTGCCTGTATGATATGACGTCATAGTAAGCTATGTGGCGTGAAGTTTTAGAGATAACAATTTCTTTAAATCGATATCAAAGATTGCTTTGAGATCGTAAATTGGATCAAAATATGCAGAGGCATAATATAAACAGAATTTTGTCCTTTCTGGGTCTCGGTAGTTATCACAGGGGTTAAATACCAAACCCGTGACGTCATAACTGTTGATCATGCAGTAGCAGAGTGAGTGTGAAACATAACGAGAATTCATGTAAACAAACACAAGAAATCGGAGTTTAAGGTCAGACGACACGTTTCTCGTATATATGTTTTGTATCTCTTAGTATTATATCAAAAACTATTAATAATAGTCATTCTCTTCTGATTTCTATATTGTTTTCAAAATGTTTTTAAATATAAGTGCACCAAAAATTGTGTTATAGGTCATTTAGAAGATTACCCATAAGGATTATATAAGAAATATGACCCTATGGAATACGGTAATGCCTTAAGGTACCTTAATTTTTTGTGAGGAAACTTGTTTAGGTACCTATACTTCAATAACAAATTCTTGGGAAAAATTATATATTTTTTAGGAACGTGTCGTCTGACCTTAAAATCATTTAGAAGGAATATCATGTGTGATTCATGTGGCAATAAAGCTTATGAATAAGGTATGCTAACATAAATCTACAGTTTCTTCGTAAAATAAAAACAGAAAGGGTGTTTACTTGCCGATCAGCCTTTCCTCTGTCGTTCGTAACAAAAATGACGCAAAAGTTCAACACTACGCCGCATACTTTGAAACTTAATTTTTGTTTCTATATAAAGTTCTTATTCTATTGTTTTTGGAAAGTGCTGCTAGATTCGTATGTCTTACGGGAATTGATGCATTTCTTTCGATGTTATGAACAAAATGTAAAAATTTTGGAAAGGTTTCCTCCGAAGGTGAAGTATAATTATTTCTGTGATAGGACAGTAGGATTCTAGCAGCACTTTTCATGGTACAGAGATGTTTTTACATAAGTATGACTACACATTGAAAATAATTATCCCCGGGGTAGTCTTGAACTTTTCACTTTTTCATTAAGGCATTTTTTTTCTAATTATAAAGGTCACGTGGTGACGTCATGGTGTAGTGCCTCTTGTAGTATATGTCTCATTGACGTCTATAGAATGCATAATGATAGTAAAAGTTTTATCCATGACTGTTCCGATTTATTAGTATTACATGTAATAAAGAAAAAGTGTTAATCCGCCGAATTCTCATCCATGTGCTGCCTTAACATACCCGCGTATGAGCTTTTGTCTTTCGAAAATGCCATTAATTCACTCAAGTGGTAATACACAAATGCTCCATGAAATGTGCACTTTTTCTGTAAGTTCTTTGGATTTTTGTCGTTAATTTCATATGAAATGTCCAACCAATTAAGGTTGAAATGACGTCAGAAAGGCGGTCGGATTTTTCCCTAACATTCTTTGAAGTTTCACTCCTAAAGGCTGACATAGACCTTGGAAATATTTAAATGGGTAAGGAAAAATAAAATGCAAAGTACTTTAAAATACCGAAAAAATATTAGAGAGGTGTAAAGTTAATGTCGATTTGTATTCAAAGTTTGTCATGTCGAAAAGTGACATTGATCATGTGTGAAAGATGTTGAACTCCGACAAGCAAATATGCTGTTATAATCAAGTAAGATTCTTTTACTATACATAGTTCTATTTACGGTATTATATGCATTGAAATCGGCTGTTTATGACATTGGAAGATTCTTTAAACAAGACGGGTTTGAATCTTTATTTAAGTCCAAGGAATCTCATCAGAGGTAAAGAATGCCGACATTGAGAAACAATGACGCCATGAAACTAAATCGCGAGAGCTCCGGGTGATCTTATTATGTCCTTTCATTTTCTTATGATAATTTGGTAAAAATTCAAGCTATCAAGCTTAAATTTTTCAACATTTCTTTAATTTTTTTGTGTTTTATGTTCCCTAATACTTTTGTAAGCCTTAGTTTTATAGTATTATTTTAAACGTGTCAGTCCACGAACTTTCCGAACAACCCTCGGATAATGTCTGTAGAAATGTTCCTCCTTTGTTGTACTCTCGATTAATATTTAAACAATAAAATGCTTTCGGGTTGTTAGTACGGGAATGAATGTCGCAGCTGTTGCAGAAAAAAATACATAAACCGCGTAAGCGGGTTTTGTGATTTTTTTCTGCAATAGCTGCGACATTCATCCCCTTCTGACAACCAGAGAAAGACATTTTATTGTTTATATTTATATCTGTTTAAATAATCATTTAAAGTAGGATTAAAAAGATTAGTTACATGTATTGCACTAATGACGCGAACGACTTTGTACGTTTCATTGATGGAACAGTCGCTGATAAGACATCTGTACAGGTGACATGCCTAGTGTAGTTCATGCACTGATTAACGCAATGGGTTTACTTCAGAAATAAAAGAGGAAATATTCAGTGGATGTAAATATACAATTGTAAGGTGGATTCCCTTACCAAAAACACATGTGATCGCGGGATTGATATGTGAAAAATATTATTGTCCATTTCAATGCCTCAGAGATAATGTTGCTCGTTTTTCTTTTTTCGAAGCGCTGGTACTCTGAACTTTGTACGGAAAAAGTGATCAAAGAAAAAATGGAATTACAAGTAAGAATGCTGATTTAAAGTAAACATGTAAAAATAAGGGCTCGATAGATATTGATAAATTATTGGGCTTAGCAAAGTTTGTCGGTAATTCATATCAATAGGGTAGCTATATTTAATGTATTATGAGAATCTAGCTATCGAGTTCTTTTATCAAATATTGTTATTTTACTAAGTAATTTTGCTGATTAATAAAGCTAACTGTTAAGTTTGTCGGTAATTCATATCAAATATGGTAGCTATATATGATACATTATTAGAATCTAGCTATCGAGTTCTTTTATCAAATATTGTTATTTTACTAAGTAATTTTGCTGATTAATAAAGCTATCTGATTCCAGTTCCCTTTGAATTGCCATTATTAAATAGAAAAGAATTGAACAGCAAACTTTTATATATTATGGAGTGTTTGAGAATTTAACATGAGGTGTTATCAACTACAGTGGTGTATTGTACATGATTAATTTACAGAACTGTAATTTGATGCATCCATTATTCAAATCACACAATTAAATGAACTATTCATGTCAATGTTTTTAGCCCTAGAACGAGAAAACTTTCAATCGGATGCTGTTGATGGAGGATAAACAGTTAACCGAGACAGAAGCATCGAACACTGGGACAATGATTCACGTACAGTGGTATGATGTAAATATACAATTGTAAGAAGGATTCCCTTACCAAAAAGACCAATGATTATACAATTATACACGTAGAAGAAGATAAGACAGAGTACACGTTCGTGGATTTCTCTCAGAAAGCGCCATCTATTCAGAAACCACAAAATGATGACTAGTAAAAATCTGTTACATTGTCTTCTAGTGAAGGTTTGTAATCCAACAGACGGTTATTAATTAGATTGTTTGAAAGTGCTTTTGTCATTGTCCTAGTAACGTTCAGCATTTTAGATTTATTTTTCATACAAAGTGCTATTTCAATTAAACTTTTTGTACATTCATATTCATAATAAATGTTTTTTAATGTCTATTAAATTTTTGATTATAAAATAAAGTTGTCCAGCTACGAATTTCTTTGTATTGAAAATAACGGAATTTTTAAGATTTAAGATTGCAATATATATCTTACATTTTGTAAGGAATATTTATGTCAATACCGTACAAAATGTGCTAAATGTTCTTTACGTTCAATGTGCTAAAAGTATCCGAACACTACTGCTATACCTTAATCAACTTTTTGTTTAAACATATTCATTGTCAAATAATGAATATATAATGTAAATCACTTAGTGCCTATTATTTAACTTAAATCTGAAAAAAAGATATTTATCTTCATGAACTATCAAGCTTCTTGAAATAAAAATTTCGGATGCCGCAATGCCACGATAATCAGTAATATTATTTAGCCTAAAAATATCAATGTATTATCAATGAATGATATGATAATTTACTAATTATTAACATTAAATTAACATTTAACGTCATACTTTTTTGGCATCGTTTAAGTTGTTTAAATTATTTCTCATTTGAATATCGTTTGAACATTTTTTTTTACAACATACATGTATATTATTCTCCTTTCCAACTTTGCTAGATTTCAGTCATTTGTGCCTTTTTTTATATTCTTGAATGATAATTGTACGTGTACTGTGAGACTTTTTTATTTATCATTTTGGAATGTTAATCTGTTTCTAGTTGTTGTGAGTGTTTATTTACTGATGCTTATATTGATTCCTGTTTTGAAACATTTTTAAAATAGAATAGGATCTTTGTGTGGAGATTGAAACGCTTCTTATCCTATTACAAACAGCTATAAAATATATGTGGAATATGTACTTGTATACTGCGAAAATGTTGATGAGATATAAATTTAAATGTTAACAATGAATGAATAGATCTTACATATTTAAAAATAATTTTTGAGTGATATGTATTTGAAGCTATGGAGAAGGTCGACGAATGCATCAAATATACTTTTCAAGCATAAGCTTATATAAATGGTAAATAGCCTTGATTGAATCAATACATGTGTATATATGTTTAAAATAGAATGGGATAGGATAAGGGATGAAAATGTGAAAGTCAATTTGCGAATATTAAAGATATATAAAACTTGTTAAACATAAGAGGTCCTGTGGGTAAGAGGTGTTTACGCGAAATCGTAACGAATGTGTATGGACAGCTAGACAGGAAGAGGTACGGGCGGACACACTTATCACTAAATATCACAAAATATACCCTGATTTTCAAGTTACCAGATATGTTGATGATAGAAGGATATCAACAATATTATTTTATTTAATCATTTCACACTATGGTCAAAAATGAGATTGCTTAAATAAATCTATTATTACTTAGGTATTTATATGAATGTGTCGTACTGAATTGTCTACTGACTTTGTTGTCTCATGTCAAAGATTACACAGAAGATGTGACCGGTCACCACGAATCCTTACTTCTCCATGGCACCTGACCCCTCCTCTGTTTTAAGAGGTCGGTGTTGCCTCTGCTCATATTCTAATATCATGTGTCTTGTTATGTTTAGAAAGGTAGCTTATTTAATCAATCTTCATTTAAGAATCATATGTAGTGTTGATTTACATTTCTAAACATTACCCGGTGTAATAGTGTGAAAATGCAAACAATGATCACATTGCTTAATATAAGAAAAATTCGCAAAAATTTTGTCAAAATTCAAAACAGGAGTTCTCCCTCTTGCTCCATAGATTTGTTTTAAGAAGATTAATCTGTCAACTGGAAAATAATTAACATAGGGAAGTCATTTTTCAATATGCGAGCATATATATTCCTGGCAATAAAACCGTCTTTTTTGTTATTTTGATTAACAGCAATAAATTTCAAATTGTTACCTAGTCTTACATAACACGCTGATGTCTTAAGATTCCAAACTAACTTTTACATAGATTAGACAAAGAATTCGAAAGTTAAGATAATAATTGGGAAAATCATCGAGAGTTTTTATGAAATATTTTTGCTAAAAAATAGAGTTCATAAGATCCTTTCACATTTTACTTTTGTCGTCTCGTTAAGCAATAACCACTAAATGTAAATTCAATTTTTATGAGCAAAAATGAAATTTTTGAGTGTTTTGTTTGATACCGATCATTGTTAAGGGTAAAGGGCTGTAATTGTGAAAGGGAGAACGTTTGGGACTATAGATATGTGCTATTTGTTTCATTAAATCGCATCTTAAAAGTGTTTGTATATTTTTTTTAACCTGATTTGAGAAAAAAAGTTCAACTTATTGATAAAGAAGAAAGATAAATACTACAGAAGATGAAGGACTGAGGAATGAACTATAAAATAATTTACTGTGTCTCTATATAGTACTACACATCATTGTCAGTAACATGTTTAATTTTCTTCCTCATGAACATATGTATCTTGTATAAAGCAGAACAGAAGGAAGGAATATAATCATTTTTTATCAAAAGGTTCAGTTGTTCATTGTTGTATATTGTTTATGGAACAAGGTTTTCATTGAAATTGAGAAGTGTGGATTGTGCCTACGTCATTAGGCTAAGAAAGTGAAAAATGTGCAAACTCAAGCTTCTTTGCATCATTTTATTTAGAATATTTTGTTCTGTTGAAGGTAAGACAAGTAAGACAAGAAGGTCAGACGTAATCGGTCTGACACTCCAAGTTAGAGGCATATACATAATTTATAGTAGCTTCTTCTCGATCGTGAAGGGAAAACAAGATATAGAATAGTTGTCACGGTTTTGTATGGAATAGTAATTGAAATAATAACAAAAAATATAAATGCAATATGATTAATTGAATGAAAATGGTTTAACGTCCCTCTGAAGAATTTTTCACACATATGGCGACGCCACCACTTGTCGATTGAGGGCTACCAATTCTGTCCTGTCCTAGGCACGCATGGCTGTTGAGCAATGAGAGATCTTTTTCGTGCCAGCACCTACTGCGATACGGGACCTTGGATTATATGGTCTCATCCGAAGGACCGCTCTCCACTACCCACAGTGGGATTCGAACCCGCGAAGTAAGAATTGACTCCTTACTTCTCGACTCTAGAGCAGACGCTCTAACCACTGCGCCAAGCGGGTGACTCCACACCCTTGAGAGGAAATTCAAAAAAAAATAAAGTCTCCATTTCATCATAATCCATTTAAGGATATACGATCCTCAGCCAGGAAGGATAACTCTTTAATTTATGATTTAATTCAAAATGTCTTAAAATAAAGCTTGAAAATGAAATTTTTTCATGCAACAATTTTCATTTTATGCCTCTACGCATGATTCAATGTTCTTTAAAGTTTTAACAATCGGTAGTAAAAAAGTTGACATTTGTACCTCATAAAATTAAGTTAAACTTGCATATTTAAAGAAAATCAAATTTCTTTTAATTTAGCCTTAGTTACCAATGTTTATAAGCATGATTTGAAATTAGAAGTGATTTACGGTGTTTTCTTTGAAAGGAAACACTTCATACACTATGCGTTATGAAACGATGGAAGTAAGTAGGAGAAAGTAAAGTACCAAATAAGTGTAAAATTCATGCACTTTTCTTTAAAAGCCTGGATACCTATGATTTTTATTACTAAAATGTATTTCTTGATCAATTATTAATTAAATAATATGCCGTAGGTAGTTCAAATTGCAGTTCTTGAAAAATTATTTGAGTTTTACTAATTTTCCCTATATAATATGATTAAATTTAAAGATGAAGTTTAAAGAAACACCGTGGGTAAATACATTTTAATTTGAGAATTTAGAGACATCTTTGTTAGCATTTTCAATTACTCAATGCCTGATTTTCAGAACCTGAGGATCGGATAACCTTAATCATTGTCAAAAAAATATACATAAACAACTTTTGTAAAATTAACAGTGATCTCATTTTTTTTATCATGATACTTTTTCTAATACTTGACATTTATTTCTTAAGAATTGCTCTCGTTGTATCATTTCATTTGTTTTAACCCCTTCACTTCCGTACCGGTCAAATTGACAGGTGGCGCGTTAAAACACGACTTCGCGAAAATAAGATCTCCGTATCTATTTTGTGGTAGCATGAAGGTATATAAGCTATATATCATCTTTTTGGAAATTTTCTCTACTTTTAAAATATCTTAAAAGATTATATCTTGATTGCCGGTATTTAATCGATTTTACGTTGTAAAGACAAACGAGACTTTTTGAAAATGGCGTAATTTTCCAAAGCGATTGCCGATTTTCCAGACGATTGACAATTTTTTTCCTGATTAACTTTATAAGAAAGCATGGTATATTCTTAAAGCATATTTTCTCTACTTTTAAAATATGTAAAAATTATTGTTATTACTTTAAGGTATATTTTAAAAACAAGAATTTTCTTGCACCAATGTGTTTTTTCTCGATTTTATTCGTAATATTTAAACAAAGCTCAGTTTTACGTTTATTTCTGAGTTGAAATAGGGAAAACAAAATAAAGCTGGTAAAAGTAAAGAAAATTTCCTTTCCAACAAGCCCTTATAGGCCTTCTTACGCTCAGTATTTTCTTAATTACGATAATTTGAATTTGTGACCGCATAGTTTTTATGGAAAAATCGGTCAATATTTACATGTAACGTCAAGGTCGATATTGTTGCGTCTTACTCGAAACAACAAATTCTTTTATAAGATTTTTTGACCATTTAAATATATTTTTTACTGAAATAAATGCATAATACAAAAAAAAATAGATTTCCAAAAACAAATTATACTTTCGTTCTGCCTTTTGTGTTCAGTGAATATTGATTTATTCATCTACATGTAGGCCCTAATGATGTATTTTTCATGAAGTGATATACAATATTGATAAAAATTGTAGATTTCCGAAACATCGATCTTTACTAAAAAAAATCAAAGTACTCAGAAGTACAGAGAGCCGGGCTCATTTACAGAGTAGAATGGATTTCTTACATGAATCACGTTTATATTCTGATGAAAAAATTATTTTAAAACTATCAATATAAACGGTAAGACACTGACAGTGAGTTTTTCAATCCTAATACCACGGTCCGATTTTGTCAGAATCAAAATTAATCTGGTACCGCAGCTGAATGTAAACAAACAGGCCAGTCTGGTTCCCTCTCCTGCTTTACTTCGTATGTGTAGAGAACTACGGTAACACTGATTATCAAAAATCCTTACGCTAATGAACTATGTTCTTTGACTTATGAAGTTTTCAAAGTCATTACTACTAATGTTTATTTTATATAGATAAAACTTAGTTTTATTATTGTTGCTTTATTTAGCGTTTGTATCTTCTCAAAAGCGGTTGAGAGTAAGAACTATATTTTTGCACGTAACTTTAAAATGGCGACTATGGGGTCAACATCCTGCCTTGAACAGGATCACATAAGCCGGCAATTGCTCTTTGAGCAATAAGCCCGGCTAAAAATCAATCAGATTTTTAATATTGTTGTATCTTGTTATACTGTATACTTATTAATTTGCAATTTAATTAGATCTATATTTTAACAATACAAAAAGTCGTATTTATAAATAAATACGACTCATCACTGTATGAGTTGATACGAATTGAAACAAGCAAATTCCAAGAATTGTGGTCCCCCGCTTTCGGTGTCTTTGTTGGTGAGATGTTATTTTTTATGACATATTGTGTCTAATATGAACATCCTATCATATGTCATTTCTAAAATTATCATTGAAATTGATTTTTTTGAAGGATGAAAACCCTTATCCTGACCGTTAAAAAGTTATGGCCAAAGTTCACGTTTTTTAAAAGTAGGTCAACTCCAAGGTCAAGATCAAAGGGTCAAAGTTGTTGATGAAACTTAAGGTTTTCTAACAAGGATTACATATGTAAAGCATGAAAGCCCTAGCCCTTACTGTTCAAAAGTTGTGGTCAAGGTTAAAGTTTTAACATAAGTACGTAAATCTTTAAGGTCAAGGTCAAAAGGTCAAAGTTGTTGATATCCAATGAAAGGACTTGTCACAAAGAACACATATGTGAAATATAAAAGTCCTAGTATCTACCGATCAAAAGTTGTGACCAAAGTTAGTTTTTTTTTTAAGTAGTTAAAACTCCAAAGTCAAGGTCAAATGGTAAAAGTTGTTGGTATCCAATGAAAGGTCTTCTCAAAAAGATTACATATGTGAAGTACGAAAGCCCTAGCCCTCACCGTTCAAAAGTTATGGTCAAGGTTAAAGTTTTTCCATAAGTATGTAAATCTCTAAGGTCAAGGTCAAAAGGTCAAGGTTGTTGGTATCCAATGAAATGTCTTGCAACAAAGAATACATATGTGAAATATAAAAGTCCTAGTATCTACTGTTTAAAAGTTGTGACCAAGGTTCAAGTTTTTAAAAAATAGATGAAAATCCAAGGTCAAGGTCAAAGGGTAAAGGTTCTTGGTATCCAATAAAAGATCTTTTCATCAGGATTATAAATGTGAAGTATGAAAGCCGTAGAACTTATTGTTCAAAAGTTATAGCCAAGGTTAAAGTTTTTTCATAGATACGGAAATCTCCAAGGTCAAGGTCAAAAGGTCAAGGATGTTGGTATCCAATGAAAGGTCTTTCCACAAACAATATATTTGTGAAATATGAAAGTCGTAGTACCTTCAATTCAAAAGTTATGGCCAAAGTAAAAGTTTGAAATTTCTGTGTAAAAGTGGGTCAAACTCCAAGGTCAAGTTCAAAAGGACAAATTTGGTGGTACCCAAAGAAAGGTCTTGTCACAAGGAATACACATGTGAAATATGAAAGTCATAGCTTTACTAAATCAAAAGTTATGGGCAAGGTTAAAGTTTTTGTGACGGACAGACTGACAGACTGACAGATGGACAGACTGACGGACAGACGAATGAGATTTAATGTCCCCTCACTTTCGCAAAAGCGGGGGACAATAAACACGGGTTTCCGCTGTGATAGCTGTAAACAAAAACATGATCCGAAATCTGAACGTCAATTTTCATGATTATTTCACGACGAAGATCCTCACGTCAATGAATCAAATGATACGGACATGCCTTTGGTATTAGCAGGTGAGAATTCGTGTATATTGACTGAAAAGTTTAACATGTTTAAGATTAAAACGCATTAGTTCACGTTCAAAAGAAAACTAAATGTACACATGTACTAGATCTTTATGTTTCAGTGTGCGTGTTTCGTATCGTTCAGCCAATTTTGCATTGTTTTTGAACTTTGATGCTTTTGACAATCTCTCGTAAGTTAAAAGTAAAATCAAAGTTGTCATAATAATGGATAGTTGTTTTCAGTATCAATGTACCAGTGTGTACATGTACAACTTTCACATTGAAATTTTAGGGTGCTTTCACCATATGCAACAATACTTTCTTCTGTGAATACCCACACAATACCTTTCTAAGCCCACCATGAACCACGAAGGTCAATTAATATGCAAGGACACCAATGAACAGGTAAATTTTTGTTTTGGTATTGAAAATTTCTGTATTTCTAAAATTTCAAAAAATAAAGTCACATGACATCGCATTCATACAAGTTTATAAACATTTGATTTATATTTTGAAAAATAAGTGTTTTAAACACATAATACTTATGATGCTTGATTTTTCTTACAGACACATTATTTAAACATGTAATATCTATCTGAATGAATGC